GAGCTGGGTGCGAGCGGGGACACGGGGCACAGCGGTGTCCCCCCGGCGTGTGTGCGGACAGACCAGGACATGGCACGCTTGGGCCATGGGGATGGTGAGTGCTGGGGGTGACGGGGCTTTGGGAGCTGCGGTGGGACATGTGCGTGTGTCCCCCTGGGATCAGCCTCTGGGGTGCTTGCAGTGACGGTTGGGTCTCGTTGTGCCGCACGAAGAGGCCAGGTTGCTCCCGACCGAGCTGCACCAAGGTCCCCAGCGGCTGCCCTGGTTTTGCAGGTGGAGGAGATGCTCTCACGAAGGCCTCGATGGACAGGCAGAAGAGCACGGAGCTCTCAGCCCTCGACAGTGAGTGTTGCAAAGCCTGGTGCTCAGCAGTGCTCAGGCACAGCCCCAACGGGAGGCAGGCACGGGAGAGGTCAGCTGGGCCTCTCATCCCACAAAGAGACCTGGAGAACAGTCTTCCTGCTGCTGGTCCCTCCCGTGACATGGCAAGGCCAAGTCCCAGTCCAGACCTTGGTGCTGGCAGTGAGAGGTCGCTGGAGCTCCATGCAGCGGAATGGGAAATGGCAAACTCTTCATGCACTTTCCTAATTAAACCAGGACTCGTGTGTTGAAAACACATTGAGATTTCCAAGTGGAGCTCTTCAGGGGTAGGAAATACGAGGATGAATATGAGCACATCCCTTATGTGCCGTTATGCCATTAATGCCAGATCCCCGCCTCCCACAGTGCCCCAGATGGACCCTGCCCCTCCTTAGGCAGCGGTTGGGGCTGGCTTATCTTCCCTGCTCAGCTGTGGGTCCCTGTGCCACTGGTCCACCCTCATCTTGGGTTTAGTTGCAGAGGAATAATTCCTGTTTTGCAGGGCTCCGTTTTTACTAGGGACAAGAGGGAACAGCTTCAGATAAGGCACATGAGAGCTGAGCGTGCAGGAAGCTGTTTGTCTCAAGTCGATGGGGTTCCTCCCTGTGCACGGAGGAGATGTGCCCTGACTCTTCTCTCTCTGGCAACAGGTTTCCCCTTGAAGCACTCGAACACGCTGACGAACAGGCAGCGAGGGAACGAGGTCTCAGCCCTCCCAGCCACGCTGGACAGTGAGTGCCACCGCGCGCCCCACGCAGACAGTGGGTGCTGAGCTGGGGAAGCATTTTGGCCTGATGGGTGAATTCTTTCTGTCCCCCAGCACTGTCCATCCACCAGCTCGCTGCCCAGGGGGAGCTCAGCCAGCTCAAAGAGCACCTTCGGAAAGGTACGTGTGGCTCTTTGGCGTCTCACCCCAGGGCACGCAGAGTCCTGCCAGCTCACAGCGCGCTCTTTGGTAAACCCTCAGCTTAGTTTGACAGCCTTCGCTGGGTTTACTGGGGGGACAGGGAGCAGAGGGGGCTTTACCCTTCCTATCTCTGATGTCTCATCCGTGTTTGTGCAGGCGAGAACTTGGTCAATAAACCTGATGAGAGAGGTTTCACGCCGCTGATCTGGGCTGCAGCCTTTGGCGAGATCGAAACGGTCCGGCACCTGCTGGAATGGGTAAGACCACGCTCACACAGCACCTTGTTAACAGGAGACACCCCCCTCCAGTCCTAGTGGCTGCCAATCTGTCCAGCACCATCCTGGCACCATCTCAGCCAATCTTTCCCATGGCGCCAAACGGGACACGTTTGCAAAGCAAACGGCTCAGGCGCTGTCAGATGCTGCTCCCCATTGGGCTGTGAGCTAAGTCAAGAGCATGAAGAGACTTAACTCACAGCTAGCAATGACTGTTTGTAATTAAATATCTGCTTATTGGTAATTTGAGATCACGCTTATCACTGGGGCCCTGTAATCTGCCTGGAAATGTGTTCACCAAGGCATCATTGCAGTTAATGAACTCATTGCTGCAACGTCCTCGAGTGCTGGGCTTGCAGTCAAGGACTGTCTGGGGGTGAGCAGGAACCAGATCCTCCTGCACTCTGCATCAAGCTGCTCCCCAAAGCTCTGTAGCAAGCGCTCACACCTCGTAAGCACTGCCCAAACCCTGTTACTGTATTAGCAGCAAGTCTGAAATGCATTACTAGAGAGACAAACAGAACCCAGATAAACATTGATAAAGGACATCATTAAGTCCAGGAGAGGTCTGTGGCTGGCAGGGCTTGGAGGACAGGGAGGTTTTCTATGTAAATCAGTAATAAAAGAGACAGTGGATACTGTACAGGCATCTCAACAGGGCCAGGAACACCCTGACTAGTGATGGATTCCTGAGTAATAGGAACTATGTAAGGCTTCATTTACTGACACTGGAGAAGGGCTTTTGAGTCCTCACCTGAAAGGCTGATGGTGATTAAAATACGCCTGGTTAGTATTCTGGTGAGGAGAGGTCACTGGGAACATGTGAGCTGCCTCTGCCCCGAGACCCGGCTCCATCAGCAGCACCCTGGGGCTCCTTCACCCTAATGCTGGTACCGTCCTCAGGGTGCTGACCCCCATGCGCTGGCGAAGGAGCGGGAGAGCGCCCTGTCCCTGGCCAGCATGGGTGGCTACACTGACATCGTCACCATGCTCCTCGAGAGGAACGTGGACATCAACATCTATGACTGGGTGAGTGCCACGCTTGCCTGCTCGTGCAGGAACCATAGAGTCATAGGTTTGGGTTGGAAAGGACCTTAAGATCACCCAGTTCCAACTCCCTGCCATGGGCAGGGACACCTTCCACTAGACCAGGTTGCCCAAGGCCCCATCCAACCTGACATTCATTAATCAATGGTTTCCTCAGTTGTTCACACTGGTGGTGTTTCCAGCCACAAGGAAACAGTGCTCAGAACTTGGGGTTGTCTTTCCACCGACACAATTTAGGTTATTGCATAACAGAGAGAAGAAAACCTTTTCCCTGAGCAGCAGGAGCTAGGTGAGGAGGGCCCCACGTGGGGCTGGCAGTGACACAGCCCCTTCCCTCTCCCTGCAGAACGGTGGCACCCCTCTGCTCTACGCCGTGCGTGGCAATCACGTCAAGTGTGTCGAGGCCCTACTAGGTAACAGGGAAGATCTGCTCGGTGGTAACCACCTCAGGGAGAGTGTGACACGCCTGAGCAGCTCCCCAAGGACGGGCACCTTTTGGGGGTCCCCTCACCCCGTGCTGAGCCGGAGGGGACTGATCCCCACTGCCTGCTTGCAGCTCGTGGCGCTGACCTGACAGAAGAGGCAGATTCTGGCTACACCCCGATGGATCTGGCTGTGGCCCTGGGACACAAGAAAGGCAAGTATCCCCTCCTGCCTGGCAGGGAGCCCCGAAAGCCTCCAGGCAGTTCCCAGCTTCCAGCCCTGCTTGGGACCTTCCTTGACTTTCCACCACAGCTCCCTGCTCTGCCATGCACAGAAACCAAGCCGAAGAAATCAATGGGTCCTGTTCCCTTTGCTCCCCCTCCAAACCAGAGCCATGCTGGAGATAGGGTGGGGACATAGGAGACAGGGACAGACCCTTGGATAAGGGAGTTTTCCAGCCTCCCACTGGAATAAAGGGTCCTGCCCACAGCAGTCCTGGCTTGGCACAGTTTGGCTTCCCTGTGTCACTTCTCTCCCCTCCATTAGTCCAACAGGTTATGGAAAACCACATCCTCAAGCTATTTCAGAACAAGGAGCTGGAATGACACGGCTGCTCCCGCTGCAGCTCCAGCGCTTCTCCCGCCCGGCACAGGGCTCCCCTCTGGGAACACCGTCCCTCGCCCAGCCATTCCAGAATGGGCAGGGGCGAGATGCTCCAAGCAAGGAGGACACGGAGGAAGCTGGGAACTGCCGGTCCTGGGTGGATCTGTGCCTCTCCTGGAGGTGACACGGCCATGGGGCCTCACATCCGCGGACACTCACTCTTCTGCTGCGTCCAGGCTCAGCTGCTTCGCTCGTGTTTGCATTAAAACCATGCAAACAGGTATCATGTCACTGGAATTAAACTCTAAATCAGCCGTGTGGAGCCCTGTCCATTGCCTCGGGCTGTCACAGCTGCCAGGCTCTCATCCCAGCACCAGCTACTGGGCAACCATGAGGGGAACTGGGCCAACCAACCTCTTCAAGGCCTGGTATTCCTTTCCAGAGCTGTCTCTTTGAAGAGGGAAGCTCCCTCTTATGCCCATGAACTTGCCAAGCCCTCCCTGCACAGAGTGCTATAACCAGCCAGGAAAACACCCGTAGGCAGGAGTAGAACCCAGTGGGAAGCATCACCCTGCCAGCCAGGAACACAGCACGGCCCCGGCTGGCAGGCAGCCAGCACAGTTCCATCCCGAGCTGGAGCCCTGCGAGGCTGCAGAGAGCTGCTCCAAGAAGTTCAGGGGTGGTTGGGAAAGGTGAGAGACAGCCAGAGCCCACGGCACAGGGAGGGGACACCTCTCTCCTGCTCCAGCCACGCACCAGCATGGCCACGGCAAAGCCACGGGCTCAGTCCCAGGGTGCCACTTGCCCAAGGAGCAGCCAGGGAGGAGCAGGGACATCATTTATTTATCCAGCCACACAAGCTGTGTCCCAGCACACGCCCACAGGC